TATTATTATTATTATTATTATTATTATCATTGTTATTATTATTATAATAATTATTATTATTATTGTTATTATTATTATTATTATTATTATTATTATTATTATTATTATTATTGATCTGACCTTGGAAGTTGTGAAGCTTATTATTTTAGGTCCACCACATCCTAGTTCATTAATTCAACTGCCAAATGCGTGTCAACCATAATCCTTAATAAGCATGACGTTACTTTTAGAATGTTCGCGGTAATTTACAGGGACTAATAATTTGTTGATAAGTCAATTATAGTAAAATTCATCATCATCACATCACCATTATATAGGCCTAGTAAAAATGAAGCGCCAACAAATTTCTCATGATCTTTTATCAGGGATTTTACATATAGATTTAGGTAACCCAAGACAATTATTATTATTATTATTATTATTATTATTATTATTAATATTAATATTATTATTATTATTATTATCATTGTTATTTTATAATAATTATTATTATTATTGTTATTATTATTATTATTATTATTATTATTATTATTATTATTATTGATCTGACCTTGGAAGTTGTGAAGCTTATTATTTTAGGTCCACCACATCCTAGTTCATTAATTCAACTGCCAAATGCGTGTCAACCATAATCCTTAATGAGCATGACGTTACTTTTAGAATGTTCACGGAAATTTACAGGGACTAATAATTTGTTGATAAGTCAATTATAGGCATCTATAGTTCTATTATTTATACACGAGCTTATTTATACACGGCGATTATTAAGTAACTGGTGAAATCAAAACATAGACGACAATTAGGCCTATTAAGTTTGTTCGACACACACTAAATTCACCCAGTCAACAAACAAGGTAGGTTAGTAGTGGTATACCGTAAGACCTCGAATTGAAACCCTGTGGGCTTTTTGTTTTTTGCGAACTTTGGATGGGAGTCTATAGTCGGGGAGAAAAAAAAATTATATGTATTTTCTACATATTAGTAAAATCGATTAAACAAGCCTTTGAAACCCCTAAATTGTCAAAATTTTCGGGGGCTGCACCCCAGGACCGTTTAATCGAAGCTCGACCACGCCCACTTTGCTTTCGTCGGGGAAATCTGACCCCTCGTCGGGGACCTCGGCCCCCCGACCGCCTAGGGATCCCCGCGGGGGCGGGGCGAATCCCCCGGAAGCTCCGACAAATTAGCGTTTTTAAGGGTCTTGTAATTTTCATTAATTTGGGTATTGTTTAGGGGCATAAAGCAGGAAAAATAGAGGGTGGGGTCCAGGGCCGGGAGGAACATTCACAGACGAATTTTCAATACGGTACGGTACCACCTCAGCCCCATAATGGTTGGGGCTGAGGTAAGAAAATTTAAGATTATGGCACCTCTAGATAGCCGGAAATGGCACTCTCAAACAACATTTAATTATGATTTTTCTTTTTTCTCCATTCCTTTTATAATTTTAGGGTGTTCTCCCCCCACCCCCCAATCCGCCACTTTGAAGTTGTAACTTTTTATGTCCTCTTTACATCTGTAGGTCTACAGATGACATGGATCAATCTGCAATCACTGGAGCTGATAATTTCCAACAGATTTCGTAGCATATTATTATTAAAAATCAACGGTTAGAAGAGCGGGCAAAAAAAATGTAACGCAGGCCTATAGCATTTCGCGATAATTAGGAAAGATTTTAATAAAATAATAGGTTTCAAAAAGTGGACTTTTTGAAATTTGGTGGTCCAGGGGCAGAGACCTGGAGGGGTTTTTTGAGCAAAGCCCCAGGAGGCTCCGACAAAGTAGCATTTTGAGGGTCTTATAATAGATTTCTCAAACACATAATTCGTGAATATTTTATTTAAATTTTCATTAATTTGGGTTTTTTGGGGGCCTGAAGAAGTAACGTTATTATGTCCTGCACATCTGCAGGCCTACAGATAACATAGGTCATATTATGGATCAATCTGCAGTCACCGGAGACGATAAATTTCCAACAAATTTCATATCATATTTAAAATCAACGGCTGGATGTGCTGGCAAATATATAATGCAATGCATGCTATAGCATTTTGTGATAATTACGAACGATTTTGTGAAATAATAGGTTTTAAAAAGTGGACCTTTTGGGGGGGGGGGTGCGTCCGCACCCTTGTGCCCGTTTTTCGTTTTATTTAGTATTTATTGGTCAAAATCTTTTATAGTACCAACCTTAATTTGTTTTGCGTTAATTGCTACACTTTCATTGGAATATCTAAGTTTTATTGCTCTTTAAGCGTTTAATATCCTAGCGGGGCCTGTCGCTTCCTAAATTCTGCATAGAATTTCAGTCAGTGTCATTCGTAATTTTTGTTGTTCTTTCCACTCGCCTTGAAAATAGTGAAAAGTGGAGGGGCAGACAATTGATATGATGTTCCCCTGCTTTAAAAAGTGGGGGACGTTACCCCCTGCTCCCCACCGATCGACGCACGTGTCCCCAGGAATCGATTCCGCTGGTGTCGCGACTGCAGGTCACCCCAGGCTGTTAGCTCGAATCCGCTGACTAGTGCAGGAAATAAAAACATTTATTTTTAGATATATAGTACATACTGTTTACTGCTTAAATCTTTCTTAATTTAAGATTGATAACACCACTTACTGTAATTGTGTGTTGCCACTGTTACAAAAGTGAAATGCCAATAAATTATTATTAGTAGTAGTAGTAATGACAGTGATGGAAATTCCCAAGATTGGTGGTTTTGAGTGTGAGGTTCAAATCAATCGCGTAGTGTAGTAGGCCTAGTAGTAGTAGGCCTAGTAGTAGTCTAGTGGTAGTAGTAGTAGTAGCCTGCAGAAGTGGTAGTAGCAGGACCAAGGTGTTTTCAAGTTGCTACACAGGGTACTGTACATTGTGTAACATAATACTTTTTACTTTTTCAGCCATTCTATGATCTATCCACTGCAGTACGAAGAATAGGCTGTAATTCGAAATGGCGAGGAGCTTGTATGTAGGCCTGGCTATCCTCGTCCTGTACAATACATAATCCTAGAGAGAATATGTAAATCGCAAGTTATTTTGTTACTTAATTGCCAGACTTATCAAGTTGGTAAAACACATTTCCGTAAGTCTTCAAATTTCCGTAGTAAATGAAAGATTCCTTTGGCACCTAAATAATTTGCCTTGATGAATGGTAATTAGTATAAGTCAATTTGGAACAAACAGGACAGGATTAAAATTTTTTTGGGGTAACTTTTCTTGGGCTTTACAATAACACAGCGACGGTCCTCTGAAGAAAGTGTGGTGGTGGGGTGGGGGCGATATGTCGAGAGACAACACCACCTACTAGGGGGTTTTGTAATCCTTTCAGCCCACCAGAGTAGGGTGCCGTCGGCATTTCAGCCTGGCCAATGTAAACATTTAAAAGGTTCCCCTGCTAAATCCGCCCCTGATTTGACCATGAGTATGCAGCGGTGGTGGCATCTAGCAAGAAAAGGCCAGGCCTGCCCGTTGGGTACACAATAGTAGTTTACCTATCCATTTAATATTATTTGATTGCCAATCCCTAATAGTAATATGGTGATATTACTTAATTTAATAATAGTGTATGGGATTTTATATTGTATAGTTTATTCTATTTTTGTAATTAATTATCTCAATTCATATGTTATGAAGATTGAATAAAATATACCAGAATATAATATTGTCACTGTAAAAAATTTGGCCATAAAAAATCTCTATGTGAACCCTACCAAGGATTTTTTTCTCGGGCCCTGAACACAGCTCTCTATTAGGCCCCTCGGTTCCAAGTCCAAAAAAATCCTTGTCCTGAAAGTTTAACAATACGTAGACCTACAGTATATTATATATTTCTGGGGCTAGGACTATGTTAAAACAAAATTACAGTTATCAATCAACTTATGTTGTATTAGCTGTCTTTTGTTTTGTGTTCTGTTTTGTGTATTTTGGGCTAGATAAAAAAAAATAAAAGTCCATTCTACACCCAATACATTTGTAGAACCATGAATTCGAAATAGAATTAAATAACTGTATATGTTTCTTCATTTTTTAAAAATAATTTTGAAAAATTTAGGGAGGGGATCCTCCACTGCAATATTCTATACCTTTTCACATTGACACAACTAGTAATATAAGAAGTTGTACTGTAATCAAGCTTGTGCAGCGTGATTTGCCCGGCAAGAGGGTCTGGGTCCTGATGAGAGCGTGGGCGTGGTCCAGTGGAGATATCACCTGGGAACTACAGTACTGTATAATGTGAGGCATGTCATGGCAAAATGGTTAAGTTGTCGCACAGGCCAGTATTGAGTAAAATGAGCTTTAAATATGGGAGCTCAGAAAAATTGCCTAAAAATCCAAATTTGTTTTTCATGACAAATCAATGTCTTATTAATCATGTCCCAAAGTAGTTCTGGAAGTGGTCAACAAATTTGTTTATTTAAGTTATTTTGATGGCAGGGGTGGCGCCAGGATTTGCCCGACGAGGCAGGGGGGGCCCCGAGGCCCAGACGGGAGGGGGGGGGGCGATTCCCCTGACGAGGTGCCAGATTTCCCAGACGAAAGCAAAGTGGGCGTGGTCGAGCTTCGATCTAAAGGCTCCGAAAGTGGTCCTGGGGGAGAATCCCCCGAAAATTCCGACAATTTTGGGGTTTCAAAGGCTTATTTAATCAATTTTAGAGTCTACTAATATGTAAAAAATACATATACAGTAATATTTTTTTCTCCCCGACGAATTGTGCTTTTTCTCCCCAACTGGGGGCCAGCTCTTCCCGACGGGGGCCCTTTCCCCCGGCCCCCCCTGCTCGCGCCACCCCTGTTTGATAGTTAATTCTATTAAACAATGTATGCACAAATAACTTTGAAAGGCAATTACTCAAAAATAAATCATGTTTATCTTGACTGTAAGAGTGCTGTACTTTCATTTTCCAGTAACTTAGGTTGAAATGTCCAATTTCAATAACTGACCCCTCATTTTAAAGATCACATACTCAGGTATCTGAAAATACCAACAACTTGAATTTCAATTTTTGCTATAATTTAAACATTTTGCCACAACATGCCTCATAATGACAATTTAGGGGTTTCAAAAGTTTATTTAATCAATTTTAGATTCAACCTATTTAAAAAATAATAACAACAATTCTGGATTTATAGCGCCTCACATTATCACAACCTCGAGACGCTTAACATGAGAAAAAAAAGGGGAAAAACTACTAAATTAACTACAGTATAATATATAAAACAAGATAGTGATGTACAAATGTACTGTTAGTTATTTTGCCAATTTTTTTAGGGTTTAGTTAAGTTAAACAATTAAATATACATGAAAATACATGTAATTTTGTGTTTCTCCTCAACAAAATGTTTTTTTTTCACCTTAATAGAATGGCTTCAGACAGCACCCTTGGCAAAATCCTGTCCTGAGTGCTTCAACTTCAGGGAGATGTGCATCCTCACCCCCACAAAGCTAATTCCCTGTGAAATAACCACATGGCTGTTGATTACAACCATCATAATTGACATACAACTTGGTCACTCTGCAAATATCATTCAAAGGCCACTTTTGACAATTCCATGACATGCCTTGTTGGTCTTGTTTCCAACAGAGCTGAACTATCTTCTAGTTCTAATGGTATACATTTTCATGGTGGCTTCTTTTTCCATAAGTATATCTACAGTATTGAATTATAGGACTACTATTATAGCTACTGTCGGTAGATGTTCCAAAACAACCTACTCACTGGGATGGTAGTTGTCAGCGTCTTGCACACTCACTACTTTTACTAAAGCTCTGTCCACACATCAAAATTTCTTTGACAAAAAACTGTTGTATTCCCATATAAAGTTACGATGTGCCTATATATGGTCATGATGTAATGTCATCATGACCATATTTAGGCATGTCACATGTTTTTGTCAAATAAAATTTGATAGTCTGGACAGGGCTTTTGGCTATTATTACTATGATAATCAATAATTAAGAAATTACCAATTATTTCCATTCCACTTTTTGTTGTATAGATTTACTGTGATTTTGAAGGTTTGAATCAACAAACCCTGTTGAATACATTACCAGGGGTATCAAAGGCGAGTACTGTATTTTAGCAAAAAGGCATCACTTGAAAAAAGGCAACTATCATCTCATCACACTAAAGTGCATTTTGAAATTGTATACAGTAGTCAAAACGCTATCAAAATGAATGCAGAAGGAGTCTCAAACTACCCTATTGCCTCACTATATGTTGGAGATTTGAATCCTGACGTTACAGAAGCTATGCTTTTTGAGAAATTCTCAACAGCTGGGCCTATTTTATCAATACGTGTGTGTCGTGATGCGATCACCAGAAGCTCTCTTGGCTACGCCTACGTACAGTTTGAGCAGGCTGCAGATGGTAGGTTCTTTTTTATTTCAAGTCATCACTATTTCTGTGATGACTTTTATCAGACTGGCCTATCAGTGTCTCACTTCTTATTTCAGTATTTTCACAGTACAGTAGATACTGTAGGTAGCACAAGTATACAGAGGAATAAAAATAACCTTGGCAAGTCCATGTAGATTCACTCATAGTCAAGGCCAGGGTTGATAATCCAGTCAATCTGTAGATTAACCCAGAACTAATTGCAACAGAAATATTTTTTGTGGAATCTGTTCCAGAAATATACACAAAATAACATACTAACTTGAAGTCCAAAAAAATCCAATCAGGGGAACATTTTTAATTTTAAAGATATTTATGAGTTAACATCCAACGGTTGTCGCATCGCTCAACTGCTGCGTTAATGCATATAAAAGCATGTTGTTGCTAACAAAAAAATTGTTAAAATAATATAGAAGCCCGCAGGCGAACGCAGTTGTATCAAACCAGAGACGTGTTGGTAGCGCAATGATCAACGTGAAGTTGCGCACTGTTCTGCATTATCTAATAATACAGTATATTTTATTATTCATTTAAATATTTCCAAGCCAACTGCGAAAATAGCCACTTACAGGATGGACACAAAATATATAATATAAACTCTAAAAATACAGAAATACAAGCAAGACAATCTAAAAATACATTCCTAAACCCCTACCCCACCATGAACGTAAAATCAAGAATCTAATCACAGTCACAAAGACAACTTACCCCGGGATACTTTTTAAAATGAGCAATTGGAATAAAACACTTTCAAAAGATATCAACGTTACAATTTTGATTGACAAAGTAATTTGATATTATAATTTGTAATATACTTTTGTTAATAATTTGGTAGACCTAATAATATTATTTTATATTATCAGGTAGGTATAGGTCTAATATTAACAAAGAACCTCCCTGAAACAATTTTTGTACCACAGATCTTATCTGTGGTTTCATGACCAAAATCGAATGCAGTTATGTTGGCACCTTCATCTAAATGCATCATCTTATATTTCACATTTTATTTTATTTTTTTTCCAGTTTCATTAAAGTACATAATACAATTGAAATTAAAACCATTTTTTATACACGACAATTCGCTCTTCCTTAATTTAACAGAAAAGCTCCGACCAGTTGTGGCTTCAGAAATTTGCTGACAAGGGGTCCGAAATGTCCGACAGCGGGTCCGAACTAAAGGGCCAACTATCCCTTTTTCCCCCCTTGCTGGTGCCACCACTGGCTCCAAACAAAATATTTGCAAAAACAAGTGTTTTTTTTATTTGTAATTTGACATTGATTTGATGATGAATAAAAAACTGAATAGAATTGAATTTAGACCATGCCGAGCTTAAAAGTAATTTAGACATTTGATTTTATATTACCGGTAATATAGCTAATACAGCATAAAAATATTTTTTATATCCCTGCATTATGACCCAGAACAACATTATTTAACAGATATACTACTTGTGTTAAACCGAACATATTTTTGATTGAATGATTTTCCCTGAGTGGTTTTGTTATATCATAAAAAACATATTCTATGGCTATGGAAATATTGAATTTTGAAAAAAATACAAATCAACTAACAAAAATCACCAAATATATAATAATTAGTCCACTAATAACGAAATACCTATTTGACAAAAAAATAACTTAATGCAGGATTGGACAGCAACTATGTGCATTGATGATTGCATTGGCGGATCTAGGGGATTGCATTGGCGGATCTTCTGTGACCTTGAAAAAAAAAAAAGTCACTCGTCTTGTGTGTGTGTTTCTCATGTATACATGTTACATGCAAATTACATGCAAAATAATCTGTAGTAGGCTACTCTCGTAAAACATACACTTTCTATTTTAAGCTTAACTTTTTTCAGATGTCATCCAAGAGCGTCTAGCCGTCAACTAATTCCAAAAAATCTTAAATGGAAGGGGATGCCTCTCCCTAAACCCATGATCAAGGAGGGACAGGGGGACACGTCCCAAAATATTGTTAAGGGGGTGGGGGTTGGTACCCTCTTTTCGTCCGCAATGTAATAATATCATAAGTCAAGAAGATGCCTGGAAATTGTTAAAATGAACTGCATAAATGACCCACGTTTTAACGAAAGTGTGCTGCAAAACCAGTACTCCTCTGGCCACAAACATCTGAATTACTTTAATACACGACTCTTGTGCGCGTGCCTGTATTATAATTTGAGAAGTATGAAAAAAGTGTGTAATATAATAATAACATTGGTTTTCGGCACATGGTAAAGTAAATTAAAAATACATCAATGACAATTGAGTTTTATTTTCAATGGAACATCACAGCGATTAATTTGATCGATGATGATGAATTTTATTATAACAGATTGTCATTTCAGTTAATCTAGAGGTACTATTTCCCCAAATGTTCCCACCTCAGCCCTTGTGTGGACTAATGGCTTCGAAGTAAGTAGACATAAATTAAGTACATCAAAGACAATGCTTTTAATATTTATTTTCTATAGTACATCACGCATATTAATTAGATATCTATGGTTGCCGAAAATCATGAGAAATTTGTTGCCGCTTCATTTATAGCCTAATGGTGATGTGATGACGATGAATTTTACTATATAAAAGTGTCATTTCCGGTCATCTAGAGCTACTATTTCCTAAAATTTTCGCACCTCAGGCCCAACCATGGTGGCCCTGAGGTGGGTGTGGGCTCACAAAATGTTTTCCCCTAACCTTTCGAAACATCTGCACCCTTGTCAAAACCAGGCCCCCCCCCCCTTCGCAAATCTCATTGTCCACCCCCCATTGCTAAATCCTAGATCTGCCACTCCATTGTGTTACCAACGTGTCTAGTTTGATTCAACTGTGTTCATTCGTGGGCGCCCATATATGCTTTACCCATTTTTCTTCATTATCAACAACTTTTTTTTATCTTTAAACTTTTATTTTCATTTCAATATATGAAATATATAACAACATGTTATGACAATATATTATGATGCAAAAAATCCCTTAATCAATTAAATGTAATCATACAATATAAATGACAACATATAGTAAAACAATTAAATAAAAGTAATATAAAATATATAATGTAAGTAATATAAAATAAATAAAAATGCACAGCAGTGTACCATCATCTTAATTACTATATAATGATATTAAATATTTTTTAACATTAGTTGGAAACGTTATAATAGATTTTGATGTTTTAAAGTGGTGGTTCAGTCCATTCCATAATTGTCATCCAGAGAAGGAAATAGATAATTCTGAAACTTTATGTTTATATCGTTGTATGTCTAGTTGATATGGTTTAAAAAGAGTGTGATATTTTGTTTTTTTAAATATTCTTTACATTTTTCAAAGTAAAATTTAATGACAAGAAAGATCAACGTTTCGGGTCCATCATGGAACCATTCTCAAGATCAAGTAAATTGAAAAAACTAAAAACAAAAATACCAAGCAGTGACAGGAAGTAATTAATTACATTAATTAATAAGATTTAATTAATTAATAAGCTGAGAAAATGGAAATTAGGTAATAACCTTATAAGTGAAACAGATAAATACAAATATCTCGGTACAATTATATCAAGAAAAAACAATGATAATGATCATATTGAAGAGGTTATCAAAAAAG